CAATCATCCTACCAAGTTTTGTTTTAATCACACGTGCCGATGCAGAGATATAAACGTTTAACTTTGGAAGAGCGCCACCTTGTGGCGGTGGCCTCAGGTTGTTCAAGATTGCCTAAGGAAGACATGGGGAACTATTGACCCAAGGTTGGCGTTGATCGGACATACCAATGTGGAGAAATGGTCCACTTTCTTTTTTGACAAAAAATTTACAGGAAGTGCATATAGAATATCAAAATTCTTCAATACTTTTTTTGCCAGGACGGTCCCCAGGTGCTACCTGAAAAATTTTGTGCGAATCGGACAAAGCGTGTAGGAGGAACACAAAAAAGTAGTTTAAGGACATTTCACGGTCACTGGCTGGCTCGGCCCCCTCCAGCGGTCGCTGGCTGGCTCGGTCCCTAATAAAACGCTTCCTAACTAGCTAGCTAATCTACATCGGTCGGCTAGGTGATTACCTGGCTTGATACAGAGCAAAACTCTGGTTACATCTGCTAGTTACATCTGATAGCTAATGTTAGCAGAATGCTAGCTAACTAGCTAGTTTTAGTGTAGCTTCACAGCTAGTTAGCTAGCATTTTTCTAACATTAGCTAACTTAAGTGTGACTATGTGGCTTTTAGTTGTTTACTTATCTTCAAAATGTGGTTAGCTTTTCAGCATAAATTAGCCTAGCATATAGCATATCTAAGTACAGGAAAGGAGGAAGATGACACCAAGGTTCTGAAAGGGGTGGTAGTTAGGAAGGGCCAAAATGGCTCCTGTGAAAAGGTCTATTAAGCTACATTTAGCTACAACAGTTTGACCCTCAAATGAACTGTTGGTGTTTCCAACCTGTGTACAATGTTATTATTACTTATTCAAATTTGACTTGAAGGTCCAATGTGTAACATTTGCGAGGGATAGTCAGGAATTAAATATATTATTCATAGTTATGTTTTCATTAGTGTATAATCACCTAAAAACAAGAATTGTTATGTTTTTGTTATCTTAAAATGAGCTGTTTTTATCTACAGAGGTAGCGGGTCAACTTCCGGGTTGACCCGCGGGTGTTCCGTTGCTAGATGCCAAAAATCCTACACACTGGTCCTTTAGGTTGCAGTAAAACGTAATTATCCTAATCTTCTCTACAGTCTTTTCTCTACAGTTTGTCTATTCACAATTTGTAGCTATTTTGTTCCTGCAGTTCTATTCCATTGTGTTTATTACGGAGGTGATATTAAATGGAAACAGGACTCAAGGCGTGATTTATGTACATGACAGCACAGCACAAATTTGTTCTAGAATTATTAAACAAAAAAACTGATTAAATAGTGATAGAAGATTTAGTGCATTGGCATCTTTTGTCATCCATTCTTCATGTGAACCTTTATCCTAAAAGTTCTCTAAATGCAGGTTGAATGTGCTGCTTGACTTTGACATCCTTTCTCTTGCTAGTGGAGGATGAGGGAGGAGAGGCGGCAGACATATCCGGTGAGGTGGTGAAGGAAGCCTCCCACCCTTCAGAAAATGCTGACCAGGAAGTAATTGTTGAGGGTCTCAAGTCCATCTGTAACATCCTGCTACACAATGAGAGAGGACAGGTCAGTCTGCTGTGTGTCTCTTCATACCGACATTTACATGAGTCCCTCAGATTATAAAATTTCATTTGATTGGTGGTCATTTATAAAATGTATTTTTTGGATGGATGGCAGGTGGTAGCAGCAGATCTGCAGCTGATAAAGGGTGTGGCAGAGAGGCTGAAGCAGTGTCATGATCCCACCTGGAACCATGAGGTAAGGACAGTTAGGTAGACATTTAAATGTAGAAGTCACAGGAGACTGGAACCTGATTTTTTTCACAGATTATCTGTCTCATGTACTACTGTCAAAAATGACTAAAAGTTATTTTTATAAAAGTTGCCTTTTTTTTCATTTATCAAAATCTGTCAAACATCTCAAATACATTCATATATGTTTAATGCAGTCTCAACTCAAAGCAGTTGAACAAGACTGTTGAAAAATACACACTGACCAAGCATTAAATTCATGTGTTTGGTACTTCAGTGTTTGATACTCCGTGCAACAGATTCATTTTCGTTTGCACCAAATAAGCATTAAGGTTTATACATATTCAGCCCTGCAATGAAGAGGCAAATGCAGCTAGAGAGTGAGTATGTCTCATTGTGTCTCTGCTTTCCCTGTCCAGGTGCGATTCTTTGACCTGCGCCTCACCTTCCTGCTGACTGCCCTGAGAGTGGACACCAGGGCACAGCTGGCTCAGGAGCTTCATGGCATCAGTCTGCTAGGTGATTTCCTGTTTAACTTGTGTAACTACTGACCTCAGAAACCAACCATCGTCAGCTCCCTAGGTTACTAGTCTTAAGTAAGAGGCCATTCACCAATGTCTGTAACGCCTAGGATGTTCAACAAGCCATGATAAATCTATAACCAGACATGATAAATAAACATACTTAAATAAACATTCAAGAAGCAAATGATTCTGTAAACAAAGGTACAAATATGCTAAGTTAAAGAGGACAGCTTGATACCTTCCTGCCCTGTGTATGTTCTAGGCAACCAATTGGATGCCACACTGGGTCTGTGCTGGCCAGACACATTGGAAACAGCCAGGGCAGGGTTAGAGGGCGTCCCTCCTGAAGAACTGCCCCCACTGAGCCGGCAGCAGACAGAACTAGCCATGGAAATACTGAAAATACTCTTCAACATTACATTTGACACAACCAGGCGCAAGGTTGACGAGGTACTGAAGAAATTTCCGTTTCGTATTAGTTTAGCCATGGTGTTATCAACATTATACTAATAATTGTGAATTCTGTTGTCAAAAGTCTGTGAGTATAATAGTTCATCCATTAAAGCTGACTTTGAGAATCAACTTACTGTATGTTACAACAGAATAACCCTAACCTGCACCCATGGTTTTTTTTTGTGCATCAGCTCATCAGGATGCACTTAAGCCAGGTCCACACAGCATGCCTGACTGCCTCACTGAACTGCTGCAGCTCACACGCCCGAGATCTTTCTATGCTGAGTTTGCCTTTGATAAATAAGCATACAATAAAAGCCTTGTTAACATATGAATGGATTCTTTCCACATAATGTAAGAGAGCTTTTAATCTGTAATCCGTTTACAATACTGTGACTAGCAGCACAGAGTAAGAGAGAAGAAGCAGCTTTCAGCAATGTATACTAGAATTGGTTGACACTGTATATGTTCAATCATTTAATATGTTTAAACATACTCTTTAATAAAGTTATTTGTTTAAGGGAGCAGTCTTATGAGCACCTTTGTAGAGTCATACTCAGGTCTATTTTAGTTTTCACTGTATCGACTGCCATACTGACTCCACCCACCCTGAATCTATACATTACATTAATGTTTGGTTTTTATCTTGCACATTGCAGATATCATTATTTGTCACACTGCAAACTTGCACATTCCCTGAAATATATTTTGCACATTCCTGCAAACTGTACAGCTCTCTATATAACGGTTATATTGTACATATTGTCTCTTTTTATATTTGTATATATTGTCGTATATAAGTGGCAATAAACTACATTCTGATGACTAATGAGTAATAAAACCGGTATCAGTATCTGTCTCAAAAATCTCATATCGGTCAAGCTCTAGCAAGAAACATTGACTTCAATATGAGAAAACAAAAGGATGTTAGTTGGTCAGTTTCCTCTGCCTGTCTTTGGAGCATGTGAATACTATATGTCTGTACCATCTGTGTGTGAAGGAAGAGGCAGCAGACTACAGACATTTGGGAGCCATACTGAGACACTGTCTGATGAGCCATGCAGACGGAGAGGAGCGCACTGACGAGTTCCACAGGTAGGACAGCACACACTGTACTGGTTTGTCTGTCTTTGCTCCTCTGTGACGCCGTCCATCTAACTCCCACCACCTCTTTTTCTCAGCCATACTGTTAACTTGCTAAGTAACCTCCCCCTGCCCTGTTTGGATGTACTACTGATGCCCAAGGTGCAACAAGGCTCCATCGAGTACATGGGGGTCAACATGGATGCTGTCAACATGCTGCTGGAATTCATGGAGAAAAAACTTGACCGGGTAAGACAGGATTGTGTGTATGTGGGTCCATTACATCCAATGCTATAACAGTAAGTAAAAAGACATAATCTGAATTACATGAAACAATGGTGACATTGTAGTATTTTCTGCATACTGGGGTTCTTAAACAGTGCTGGAATTGCATGAATTTGAAATGAATGGAAACCCACCCCTGCATAAGTTAGTGCCCCACGGCTGAGTCCTTGCTGCAGCGGTCCAGGGTTTGAATCCGACCTGCGGCCCTTTGCTGCGTGTCATTCCCTCTCTCTCTTGCCCTCCTTTCCTGTCTGTCTCCAGCTGTCCTAAAAATATAGGGTTAGAGTTAGGGTTTTGGGTCCCAAAATATACTTAAAAAAAAAAAAAATCAAGTCAATAATTCCCTCAAATGCATTCAAACTAATGAGACTGTTTTGAAAATGTAAGGAGTAGAAAAAACAGTTACTTGTGTAAAAATGTAGGGGGTAAAAGCAAAAGTTGTCAGAAGTATTTGTACATACTTGTTACTTCTCACCTCTGCTGACGTGTTTGATGAAACTGACTTATTTGTTATTACAGCCCAGCTGGTCGTATTTATCGTGAAATTATAAGAGTTTGTTTGTCTGTTTCCCAGGGACATAAGCTGAAGGAGACCCTTCTCCCATCGCTGAACCTGCTGACTGAGAGTGCCCGCATCCACCGAGAGACCAGGAAGTTCCTCAGGTCGAAGGTCAGTACTGGGCTGATGAAGAGATGAGTGCTGTCGCTGTTTTTATGGCTCAGGTATAAGTGTGTGTGTGTGTGTGTGTTTGTTTGTATGTGTATGTAGGTCCTGCCCCCACTGCGGGATGTGAAGAACAGGCCGGAGGTGGGCAATGCTCTGAGGAACAAACTAGTCCGTCTTATGACACACATTGACACTGACGTCAAGGACTGTGCTGCTGAATTCCTTTTTGTTCTTTGCAAAGAAAGCGGTGAGGGAAAAATCTGTTTGTTGACTTATTTCCCCAAAATAATTCATCTAAATTCTTGTATGACTTACTTTAAGCCCATGGCTTACTGTAATATCGACCATCTCCACTGATCAACTGTGTCCACATCATTTCACCATAAAATTTTGCTATGCTTGAACAACTTAAAGCTGCTGTAGGTAACTTTTATGAAAATAACTGTCATATTTGCTGGAAACTTTCACATAATCCTGACAGGTAGTACATGAGACAGATAATCTGTGAAACAATCAGGTTCCTCTGGCTCCTCCTAGTGCTCCACCGGGCCTGAATGAAAACAACCAATCAGAGCCGAGAAGAATAGAAAAGACACTTTGGGTTGGTGGTTTAAAGATAGTTGATTGTTGAGTCTCATTCCCAGCATCTGTATTTGATGACCTGGGAATGAGACTCAACAATCAACAATTTTTCTCTGAACCATGTTTTTACAGATTTTCTGTCTCATGCACTACTGTCAAGATATAGTGAAAGTGTGAGCAAATATGACAAAAACATATTTTAATAAAAGTTACCTACTGCAGCTTTAAGGACTATTCCAACAGGATTCAAATCACTGACCAGGGCAGGTAATGTTAAATTCCCCCATCTCCAATATAAAAATCAATTCAGTCCGAATGGGGTTTAGTGACCCCAAAAAGGTCAAACGGTTAAGATGTGATTTTGATATGGACAGTGTTAAGATGCACAAAGATAGTTCAGTAGTAGTTCAGTGCAGCTTCAACTATCACTTCATATCAACCATGGTTGTACCTCATGCCTGGTGATAAGACTGGAGTCCAACAGAAGGCTGGTTGAACTGGCTTGTATTCATATATTAAAGAACTACCATATTAACAGTAACATGTTCTCTATACAGTTCCGAGGTTCATTAAGTACACTGGATACGGTAATGCTGCAGGTCTGCTGGCTGCCAGAGGACTGCTTAGGGGGGGCCGAGACCCTGGGATCTACTCTGAGGATGAAGACTCTGAGACAGAGGAGTACAGAGAGGCCAAGGCCCAGTCAGTACCTCCACACTGTTACCTTAACTCAGTGCCTCATGTATTATGTCTCATAAACTATGATATTATGTATCTTTGACTAATGAACTTGACAGATTTTTGTAGTCAGTAGATGATTTGTTAATTTTCAACATGGAGGGCGGCCCAATGGGAGCACCTGACTGAAGAGAAGATGAGGAAGTCACTCACTATAAGCTATAGTTTAGGGCAGGGGTATTTAATTACAATTCTAGTAATCTACCAAGGTGAACCACCATGTTTCTATAGTAGCCAAGAACCATCAACAAATATAAAGATGGATGAATGACACTCTCCAAGAGTGTGGCCAAAACATCTCAATCATCCCCTAGTGGCCAACTGCAGTATAGGTCAAAAAGCCTGCTGCTACCATGTTAGCAGGCCAAAGTACATGTCAAATAAATTTTTCCCAAAGATATTTTTGTCAGTTTTGGTGTTGGGTTTAGTGTTTTCATCAGTTTGCTTTTAATTAGTTATTTGCAGCTATAAAAGGGGGTTTCATGTCATGATTGACAGCTGAGCCCTGCTCACGATTGAGTTGGCCAGGCCTATTATACACTAATGAATACATACCTATGAATATTATATTCTGTTTCTGCAAATAGATTCTCCCAAATGTTACACACTGGACTAGAATGTTGCTGTCTTCTGCTGTTTTGATACCCCCCCCCCAGTATAAACCCAATAACAGGAGTCGTAGAAGAGGAGCAGCCCAATCCCATGGAGGGAATGACAGAGGAGCAGAAAGAAATTGAAGCCATGAAGCTGGTCAACATGTTTGACAAACTGTCAAGGTCAATATAAGCAGCACACACACACCAACACACATACTCACACATGCAACCTGTGTGCTGGTCAGTTTGAAGTCATCCACAGTACATTGTGTGTTATTTTTAATTTATTATCTTATATCTTTCACAGTATAACAGCTATATTCAAATATATAATTGATTATATATATATATATAT